TTGCAGTGGCTGTGCTGGTTTGGGCCTCATTGCTAGCTGCAGTCATGTCCTCATCTCATACATAAAACACCTCTGAATCACAAATACTTGCTGAGGAACTCGTATTCACATAAAGTAGCCTTGTTGACAAGTTTGGGTGAGTAAGGGCAAAACCTGTAGCAGGCAGTATCACGTCTTTTGTAGCAGAAATAAACTGCCGCAGAAAAAGCTAGGTCCATGCAAAATGTAATGTGTAACTGCAACACTCATTTCAAATGTAGTGGAGTAAAGAGTACAGATACTCGTTCAAAAATGTAGTAAAGTAAAGAGTAAAAGTTGCTAATATCTTTGATACTCAGTACAACTACAAAGTACCTGAAAAGATACTCAAGTACAGTAACTAATTACATTTACTCCAATACTTTACACCTCTGCAGAAATGAGATATACAGCTCTCTGCTTGCAGCGCATCAGTCACGCTCATCAAGAAAGTGAGTGAAACACACACAAACACACATTATTTATCATATAATACGTCATTAACAGCGATTCACTTCCGTGATTTGGTATGATTGTATTCACATCAGCAGCAAACCGTACCGGAGTTCACTTGAACTGTACCCCAGACCACCCTTTTTAAGTAGACTCAGGTACGGTACGCGGGTGTGCACCCGAGTTTGGAAGACCACGTTCACATCATCCAAACGTACTGAACTCTGACATCAATCGAACCCGGGTGCGCACCAAAAGTGCTAGTGTGAAAGCACCCTAAGAAACCAGCATTTCATTCAGCATTTAAGTATATTCAAGTACATTCAATACATATTCAGAGTTTAAACATAAATGTGTTATGAAAACAACATGTTGTTGCAGTGTTTTCGCTGTCTGATTCAAATCGGATAATCAAAAGTGAAGTCTGATTCATTTAACATATCTTTATCGGCTGACTCGTGTGTTTTTTGTGACCCTGGACCACAAAACCAGTCAATAAGGCTCAATTGTTATTTTATTGAGATTTATACATCATCTTGAAGCTGAATAAATAAGCTTTCCATTGATGTATGGTTTGTTAGGATAAGAAAATATTTGGCTGAGATACACACAAAAAAAAAGAAGAAAAAAAAAAAGATTTTACGATACTGTTCACTTTATTTAAACAATTAATGTTAATTTAACACCATTGTATTAGATTTCTCATTCAAACACAATTGCATTGTGTTAAACTGACTTGAAACAGTTATGCTTTGGTTCAACTAAATGTTTTCAGTTTGAAAGAACATGTGTCAATTAAGTAGGTCAAAATAGCATTTGGTGCTTGTTCTGTTTACTTAAATCAAGTTAACCTAACACAATTATTTTCAACCACATTACTCCAATCCATTTGAGTTAAGATACATAAATGATTTTAGTTGTGTAAAAAAATCATTATATAATCTAGGAACAGGATTTCCACTTCCCATCATGCTTTGCACGGGGCTGGATATAGTAAATGTTCAAATAAAATATAATTTTAAATATAATAAAATAGTTATTTTATGCATCTTTTCTCAAGATGATACAATGAGGATACATATTAATGTTTAATGTTCTTTAATGTTTGTATTTAAAATAGTTTCTGGTGTGTTAGTGTTTTTGGGGGTTACCATTGTGGTGAAGTGTAGAGCATGTGCTTGGGTTGAGAACCTGCAATAAGATTTAAAGGTGAATTAACTAACAAACCCAACAACCAGTTGGGATGTCTCATATTCTGACAGTAAGAGCTATACTAAGGTTGTTTAGTATGCTGTAAATAGCTACTGCATCAGTATTTGAACATGGTTGTTTAACTTTAGTCAATTCAGTTTAGCATATCGTACATTATGTATTTGAGAAAATATGTCTTGTGTGTGTTATATGGAACCACTGTCCATAACTGAATTAAGTTAGATTAAAGTATCTTTTTGTTTGAGTGTGCAACTGATTGAAAATTAGGAATCTAAGGATGCAAAAATATCTAAATATTGAGAAAACTGCCTTTAACTTAAAATCTGCGGACCTGGATACAGGTCCAAAATCACAAAAACAATTGTTGTTTTGCTTTATGATACATAAAGCAGTAAAATGAAGCTTAGAAATGTATTCAACCCACACATGAATATCCGCCTAATGATTGCGAATAATTTTTCAGAAGAATGTGTATTTTTTATGTGTTTCACAAAACAGTCAAGTCATATATCACAAGAAAGCTCTTATTCTCAGGAATTTGACTATGTAGATTATTTCATTGTGTGACAATCACAGATCGCATGACCAATAGAATCGCGATGTGAAATTTGATACCTCTGAGGAAACATTCAGATGCATCACATTCCTGCTCGCACAATTGCTTCAGTCAGCCACAAACAGCCAAAAACTCTATATTTTCTTTTAGGTTAGGATCTCTTCTTTCAAACGAGACCATTTTCACGTTTCTGTGTGCTCGTATTGGTGAGAAATCCACTGTTTTGTCGCAGAAGTGCAACAGAAGCACACCAGAGAAAAAAAGATGCTCTTTTGGCAAACACGCGCTCTCCAAATCATAGCAGCTCTGGCCAGCGGCTCTTATGTTCTACAACTTTGGGCTACTCTGGACTGCTCAGTGGGCAGCAATAGGTCAGATTACACGCCACTCAAGCGCGCCGGCCACTCAGAGCCGTGAAATTTGACCCCCCTGGGTCAATAGACAGGAGGGGGAGAGAGAGGATCCGGGTCAGCGCTGGAGCTGTTTTGAGCGTGGGTCTTGTAGTTTTTTTGACTGTTTTGAAGGCGATAATGCACGCTGGAAGGCTAACACATCGGCGGCTCGGATAATGGCAATCTATGAAGATAATAATGAAAGTTATAGATGATGAAGAACGTTCAGTGGCGCGGTGGAGAGGAGAGGACGCTTGTCTGGTGAGCACTTATGCTGCTCAGTGGGCAGCAATAGGTCAGATTACACGCCACTCAAGCGCGCTGGCCACTCAGAGCCGTGAAATTTGACCCCCCTGGGTCAATAGACAGGAGGGGGAGAGAGAGGATCCGGGTCAGCGCTGGAGCTGTTTTGAGCGTGGGTCTTGTAGTTTTTTTGACTGTTTTGAAGGCGATAATGCACGCTGGAAGGCTAACACATCGGCGGCTCGGATAATGGCAATCTATGAAGATAATAATGAAAGTTATAGATGATGAAGAACGTTCAGTGGCGCGGTGGAGAGGAGAGGACGCTTGTCTGGTGAGCACTTATGAGCACTTTTGCTCTGTTTTTTATAGAATCATTATTTTGAAACGTAAAAGCACAGCTAACAATCTGATAAACGATGTATTGACAGTAAAGTACAGTACAGGATGCGTTTCAGTAAATATACATGGATATTATTACAGTGCTGTGTTGATACACAGCTATTTCTTTGTTTCACATTCTGAAGACCAGATAGCAGCCACGACCTCATGCCAGAAGCAGTTAGCGCGGAGCTAACAGCACAGCTCGTGTCTGATCTCCAGACAGGATGCTGATGCTGAGGCAGGCAGGATGCTGATAGAGGTAGGCTGCTGATGCCGAGGTGATGCAGGGGACTAAAATTATGCACATAAATGGAATGATATAAAGCTGGAGGATGTGGATTCTGTTTTAGATTTTAATAAACCACATGGATTTTACAATTTATAGAGTCTTGTGTCTCCTGAAAGAAAAAAAATTATTGTATAAAACGCAAAATTTGATATTTGGTATAATTCGCTTATGCCATTTTGTATATTACTACTTAGACAAACATAAAAATGAAAAATAAATTAAGTCAATAATCAAGAAAAGTGCTATGGCACATAGTAAAATAGAATTCTGGGGGCAATATGTTTTATAAAACCTGTTTTTGCAAAGGAAACTCACAAAGGCACTTTTAGATGCAAAAAAGGGACAATTTTACTCCCTTCGGTTATAATTTAATAACTCCTGTTTAGAAACTGTTATCTGAAAGATTCTTTTTTCTGGTACATCTTGGCACCTAGTGGAATCAAACAATATACGTTGCAGGGAGCTGGAGCAAATAGAAGCTGAATAACAGACTTTAAAAAAAAAATCAGAAGAAAAATCAAAAAGCGCCTATGTTTTTTTAGTGTTTATTGCAATATTTAAAACATATATGATGTTATTTATGAAGAATTACAATCATATTTTGTAGTTCAAAGGGTTTTCTATACAATGACACCATTGTTTTAATTTCCTCCATTGTATGTGTGTAGGGTAAACATTTGAAATTGGGTATGCCAAATTTAGGCGAAAATACACAAAAACGCCCCAGAGCTTGACCAATTTAAGTTCTTAGCAATGCATATTACTAATCAAAAATTAAGTTTTGATATATTCAAGGTAGAAAATTTACAAAATATCTTCATGGAACATGATTTTTACTTAATATCCTAATGATTTTTGGCATAAAATAAAAATCTATCATTTTAACCCATACAATGTATTTTTGGCTATTGCTACAAATATACCCGTGCTACTTATGACTGGTTTTAGGGTCCAGGGTCACATATTGGTTTTATTTAGCGTGATGAATCGTTTAAACGAGTCTGACTTGAATTTAACTTTGAACACTCAATGCCAACGTTAAATCCAAGATTCTTTGATTCTCTGAGTTTGTTCTTGTAAAGTGTTTACCCAAGTGTGAACACTCTTAAATATTGACTAAATATTTTGGCAGCGTATGTGGTCTGTCTGATCATTTTACGAGCTGCATCACTATGGCACGTTAAATGTTTACCATTTGTAGCTCAAATCACAACATTTAACAAAATAATACCTAAAAGTATTTGCTCATAAACTCATTTCGGTTTATAAAATGTGGAAAGTCAGCATTTTGTCTTTCATAATGCAAATTAAAAGTGTATAAGTGCTAAACTAAAATTCTGCATTATTATGTCCCAAAATGAATTAGTATAAACATTTTTAGTAATTAACTATTTTCAAAAAATTCAAAAAATCTAATATAAATCTAAAAAAAATCACCCTTTTCGAAATAGAAACTCACCCTGTACCAAATAATAGCCAGCTAATGTTAGATGCTTCAATGTATTATGCCTTTATTTACAGGAGCTGGTCTGTATTTACAGGAGCTGGTGTTTACGAAGAACACTCTGGAATGGATGAGCTGAGACCTGGAAAAGAGAGTTTTTGCATCTGTGCCCAGTCCCAAGCAATCAGATGTTGATGACCACAGCTGTTTATCTAAAAACGTTGCCTCTGTTGGAACACAGTGGGAAGACCACATCTTCGAAGAGCATTGTTACATCAAGAGACAACACAGTGTAACTTATGTAAACCAGTCAACGCAGTGCGATACTTTCAAGCCTCCTATTCTGATGAATGACCATGACTTAAATCTGTACACCGGTCTCCCACTCCACATATTTCATACCCTCGTAGCTGTTCTGCATCCCCATGGGAATCTGGCTTACCAGACTGAAATTAGACTGAAAATAGCCTGTGACGTCATCACCCGGCATGACCACAGTATAAAAGGGCGCCGGGAGAATACGTCATTCTCTTCTTCGTCTTCAAGGACTGTTTTGTTTGAAGTGTGCATTTCTGGTAAGAACGATTATTCTTCTTTACCATGGCAAGCACTAGTAAGGCGTTTAAGAAGTGTGTGGATCCGTGTCCTTGTTATTTGACACCTGATGACACACACGATCTTTGCATCTTTTGTTTGGTCGAAGAGCTTACACGATGTCCTCGAGGGGGCAGTTTGCGTGCACTGAGAGTTTTTCCTATAAAAAAGCTCCGCTCTCGTTTGTCTCTCTTTTCGAGGAAAGAGGGACAGCCATCATCTCCCCGTGGTTCAGGACCCTCCGCTGCTGAGGCACGGAGGAAAATGAGCTTGTGGGGATCGCAGATGGACCTGGTTGATGAGTTGAAAAAGGGTCTTTCCCTTTCGCGCTCATCAGTCACGGACGAGAGTGAGCTACTGGACGACGATGCTATCTCTCTTACATCGTCTGATCCATCGGCTAGTGCTCTGCTGACTCAAAGCCAGGATGAGCAGGAGATGTCAGATGAGGGCGAAGAAGTCGAGACTGAGTTCTCCCAATCCTCCTGCCCTGCGTATGATGAGCTGCTTGAGGTTATGGATTGCGCCACAGCAAGGCTTGACTTGGAAGCAGGCCAAGAAAGTGACGCCTAGTGGCAGCCTCAACAAGCGTTTTCTTTCTAGCCATAGCCCTCCAGCTCAGGTTAGGCTTCCATTTATTCCCGATCTCCACATGATCCCCAAGGCTTGGAAAAATCCATTCTCGTCTTGCATCCATAGATTCCAGCATACTAGTTATGCCAACATTGAGGGGATATGTGAGAATGGTTATGAGAAGATGCCCCCTGTTGAAGAGACGCTGGCCTGCTATCTGGGAGAAACATCTTCTCATAAGGCTCCATCCCTGCTGTTCAAACCCCTTGAGGATACATCTCGTTTGAATGGCAGGGCATACTGCATACTGCAGCAGGTCAGGCTGCAGCCTCGTTGCATACCATGGCGGTGCTTCAGGCTTATCAGGCTGATCTGCTGAAAGACCTGGATAAAGGTCAGGGTCTATCCCCTGATGAGGTGGCTGAGTTGTGTCGAACCACGGATCTTGCTCTGTTTTCTGACTTTTTAGGTTTGACCCCCCTGCTAAGTCGAAGCCTCCTGCTGTTGACCGATTATAGTGATTGTTTCACTCATCGGTACTGGATACAGGCTGGTGATAGCCCTCATCTTCGGCTTGGACACGCAGCCTGAGTCTTTCCTTAACCATCATGCATGTTCTCTGAGCTAGAGCTCCTCTCGCTGAGGCACTGAGGAGCTCAACACTCCATAGACGGTCAGGCCCGCGGGTCCTTCCTGTCACACTGCCCTTATGGTTGAACCAGTAATCGCCCCTCTGAGGAGTGGGCTTGAGTACACTGCATTCCCTGAGGTACGAGGGATTTGTGTTTCTGTGGAAACCCCTCTTGTATGCTTCTGCTCTGATGAGCAATAAGATCTGTATGCATGAATAGTTATTGGGTCCCACTATTTCTTCAGATTCTATCGGGTCTGGTTATTTGTGATCCACGCTCTGTATCGAGATGCATCGAGAGCATGAGACCTGTCTCTTATTGGGCCCTGCTGGGTTACCCCTTCTAATCTAGCGCCTCCTTCTGGTTGAGCTGAGAAGTGCTCATCTCACTGTGAGGGTTAGCTATGAGTCGCTCCCAGTATGTGCTGTAAGGGCCTCTTTACATATGCTGTAAAGAGCTTGAGAGCCGAGAGTGCTGCTCCCGAAATAACCCATTTGCAACAAACTGAGTGTTAGGTCCGTCTCTGTCACCTCCTTGAACAGTTGGACCCTGGGATATTGATCGCTTTGGTCAAGCTGGGTTCCTCTCTTTCCTCGCTAGGGGTTGATCCCTCTGCTCTTGAACTCTGTGGCAGTGACATCAGGTAGTTGGGCCGCTTGCTGCTTCCCTGATAAATAGATGCCTCTATTTGGGTCAAGCCAGGCAGTGCTCCCCTCACCTCGGAGGTTTGTCTTTGAGCCTGCTGCTCTCGATTGAGCGTCTGTGGACTTCTCTCATCGAGTCCTCCGCTTGTTTGAGCTACATTGAGTAGCAGCCTCAGGTTGTTAGGCCTCTCTCCACCTCCCTGTTGAGCCCCTCTCCTTGTGGGTTGAGCTTAGCAGTGCCCTTGGTGGTTTCATATGAGCACGCCCCTCTCAAACTGAGCATCTGAGTCCCCCTTCTATTTTTGAAGTTGGGCCTCTGCTCTTATGAGCTCCGGATAGCAATCATGCCAGGCAGCTGGGCCATCTCCTGCCTCCCTGGCGGGTTGCTTGTTAAGTGAGTTAGATGTGCTCCCCTCACCATTATGCTCCCTTCTTGGCATCTGTGAGCAGATGCTTCGGAGTCTGTTCTGCGAGCGTGCCACAGTCACGTAGGATTTAGACCGTATCATAGTACTGAGACTGTTCTCATTAGAGTTACAAATGACCTGCTCTTATCATCTGATTGTGGTTGTATCTCTCTATTAGTGCTATTGGATCTTAGCGCTGCGTTCGACACTATTGACCACAACATTCTTTTGCATAGACTAGAAAACTGACCGCCATCAATTCGTAGTAGTGAATGAAGAGGTATCATATCGATCACAAGTGCAGTATGGAGTACCTCAAGGCTCAGTACTAGGGCCGTTACTCTTCACACTTTACATGTTACCCTTGGGAGATATCATCAGGAAACACGGTGTTAGCTTTCACTGTTATGCTGATGATACTCAGCTCTATATTTCTTCACAGCCCGGCGAAACATACCAATTTGAAAAACTTGCGGAATTCATAGTCGATATAAAATACTGGATGAGTAATTTCTTACTGCTCAATTCAGAAAATTCTGTGTTAATTATAGGACCTAAAAACTCTGCATATAATAACTTAGAACACTCTCTAAGACTTGATGGCTGCTCTGTCAATTCTTCGTCATCAGTTAGGAACCTAGGTGTGCTATTTGATAGCAATCTTTCCTTAGAAAGTCACGTTTCTAGCATTTGTAAAACTGCATTTTTCCATCTCAAAAATATATCTAAATTATGACCTATTCTCTCAACGTCAAATGCAGAAATGTTAATCCATGCATTTATGACCTCAAGGTTAGATTATTGTAATGCTTTATTGGGTGGTTGTTCTGCATGCTTAATAAACAAACTCCAGCTGGTCCAAAATGCAGCAGCTAGAGTTCTTACTAGAACCAGGAAGTATGACCAAATTAGCCCGGTTCTGTCAACACTGCACTGGCTCCCTATTAAATATCATATACATTTCAAAATCTTGCTAATTATTTAATTACTACTCTCCAATACTTGAGCGAGCTCTTATCGCACTATATAGTCCTTCATGTCCACTGCGTTCTCAAAACTCTGGCCATTTGATAATACCTAGAATATCAAAATCAACTGCGGGCGGCAGATCCTTTTCCTATTTAGCGCCCAAACTCTGGAATAACCTACCTAACATTGTTCGGGAGGCAGACACACTCTGTCA